GCAGGAGACGTTAATTTCCCACGCGCGAGATTACTGTGAGGTGGATGTCCTCCCCTGGGGTGGGATGGGCGGGTAACAGGACCCCCGTTGATACCAGTGTTTACTACACTGAAGGGGCTATCCTGTATAAATAAAGATGTCTACTCAACTCACGTTTCAGCAAAGAATATACTATCGATTCAATCCTTTTAACATTGACAGATAATACTTTAATCTTTGATGTTAGGATATTCCTTCAAAAGAAAGGTACTGCAATGGGAACGAAAAGAATATTCCTTCAAAAGAAAGGTACTGCAATGGGAACGAAAATGGCTCCCAGTTACGCAACCCTTGTTCTAGGGTATCTGGAGAACAAATTATACAGCTAGGTCTCTAATAAAATGGGAGAAGAAATAAGCCATTATGTTTACTTAAACTGGAGTATATTCTTGGATGACTGTTACATAAACTGGCCTTACGGTGAGGATAAATAAAAGGAGCTTCATGATATTCTAAACAGCCTAGACGACAGCATTCAACTTACTGCTGAAACTAGTTGCAAAGAACTTCTGTTCGTTGATGTGATGATAAGAAAAGACAATACTCACCTAACAACTGATATTTATTATAAACCGACGGATTCATTCCAATACCTCCCATATACATCCAGCCATCCAAGACACACTAAAAATAACATACCATACAACCTGGCTCAGATGATATGTATGACTATTGAGGACCAGGACATAAGGAAACGGCGCCTCCACGATCTCAGACAAACCCTGCTGAGGAAACAATATCCAGCTGAGATCATTGATTACGGTGTAAACAAGGGCCTTACCTAAACAACAGAAGAGTTAAGCATGGTGAGAGAGAGCAAGCTACCGAAAATAACCTCCCTTGTCTGGTAACAACTTATAATCCCAACAATCCACAAGTATTTCAGCTAGTCAGGAAAACACTTGCCATGTTGAACCAAAACTCCTCATTAAAATCCATTACGAGCAAGACTAAAGTAATTCACAGTCAGCGACAACCCAGAAACCTAAAACGGATGCTAACAGACTCCTATTTCTCCAAGGAAAAGGACACTGATCTGGAAGTTAAAATTTGTGAAACAAAACATTGTGGAACATGCCTCTATTTAAAACAGGGTAAAGAATTCACCTTCTCCACCACCAATGAAACATTTCGAATATAACACTCTATGAACTGTACCTCGACGAACTTGATTTACGTAATAACATGTGCAGGATGTGGACATAATTATATAGGAGAAACGGGTGATGTCCTGAGAAATAGAGTGACAGTTCATAAAAAATAAATTAGAGACCCACACACACGCATGCTGGGAGTCAGCAAGCATATTGATGAATGTGCTGCAGGATTAACCCCTCTGTTCACTGTCTTTCTGTTTTACAAGATACTCAGCCACTCTGAGGTTATGAGAAAAAACAAAGAGAAGTTTTTATTTCAAAATATAAACCTGTTCTTAATGACTTGAAGTATGCTAATTGCTCGCGCATGCTTTGAATTACAATAGCCATCAATATTGTAATTACAATTAGATCTGTGATGTAATAAGTCAATAAACACACTTTGCTATGCCTGAAGAGCTGCCACAGCGGTGAATTGCGTAGCACAAAAGCAAAGTAAAAAGAGACTTGTTTTTCATTAGTTTTAATATCTTCATTCGACACAGAAGTTTACAGTTTCTTCAGTTATCTAGAAATATAAATATATAAGTCGTTAATGGAACTCTCAGGCCAACAAAGGTGCACGGCGCCAGGAGGATCAATAAATATTCGCAGTCCAAACCTCACAGCCAACACGAACGTAGAAAGTTTAAAAAAATTGCGAGGATGGACAACTTCTTACGTAAAAAATATAAAAAATTTTAATAAAAAACCTTTCGGTCAGAGACCTTCAGTTATTTACAACTTTTGAAATAAAAAAAGAGCATTAGGATCGAAGTGCTAATGATTACGTAATTACAGATAAGGGTTTGTTTCTTGTATTTTGACCATTGCTTTCTTTGTAATTAGATTTTTTGTTTATTAGCACCAGTTCATTAGTCGTTATCTGTAATTACGTAATCATTAGCACTTCGATCCTATTTAATGCTCTTTTTTTATTTCAAAAGTTGTAAATAACTGAAGAAGGTCTCTGACTGAAACGTTTTGTATTAAAATTTTTTATATTTTTTACGTCAGAAGTTGTCCATCCTCGCAATTTTTTAAACTTTCTACGAAATATGAATATATAAATATATATATTAAATCAAACCACTTCAGGACTTCAGGAATGATTCATCGTTTTATTGCTGCGACAGTCCTGTTTCGTATGGTCTAATGTTGACCACACTCATTAGGCAACATCTACGAATGACCGTTATATTTGAATGCTGGCAGTTAAATTCAATGACATGGTTGCTATGGTGCTTTCTATTTTGTTGCGCGCGCCAAATAAAGGTTTTTAAGTACATATCTATTCCTGTGGGGGCACGAGGATGCTAATTCATTGCGTTTGTTGAGGGTGCATAAATCTTTCCTGCAGATTATTACAAATTTTTCATAAAGATACAAACTACATTTCTTGTTGACATTGTTGTAAGTTTTGCATTTTCTGATTACTTTCCACATTGTGCTGAAAGGTATCTTGGCTAGCTCCCAGCAAGACCGCCACATCACCCGCGCCAAAAAGTCACTTCTCTACCACCAAAACACGCCATGGATAAAAAAGAACACCGAAACCATGTTGGATGTGACAATGGGATCGTACGATGGTGCCGAAACTTGCGAGCTAATAGGATCCTACATGGTATCCTTAATCACCGCCAGCTTCAAAGACCAAGTAGGGCTCTACCATGACGATGGTTTAGTAGTCTGTAAAGCCACACCAAGAGAAATTGAAAAAATCAAACAGCAAGTGACCAATGTATTGAAATCGAATGGCCTAAAAATCACGATCGAGGCGAACAAAAACACCATTCACTTCCTAGACGTAACCTTTGACCTCAAGAACGGAACCTACAAACCATTTCTGAAACCGAACAATAAAGTACTTCCTATTCATCGACAGAGCAACCAACCCCCAACGCTACTTAAGAACATCCCAGAAAACTTTAACAAAAGACTGGCGAGCATCTCATGTAACGAAAAAGTTTTCTAAAAAGCCATTCCCCCGTACCAAAAGGCACTCGCTGATAGTGGGTATACACACAAATTATCATACAACCCGCAAACTACCCAAACATCAGCGAGAAACCACAGGAGAAATCGCCAAAGAAACATCACTTGGTACAGCCCCCCATGGAACTCCAGCGTCAAAACAAACCTAGGAGCGAAGTTCCTCAACATTGTTGTACAATGTTTCCCGAAGGAGCACCCACTTTACAAGATCTTCAATAGACATACGCTCAAACTCAGCTACTCTTGTATGCCAAACATGAAATCCATCATCGCGTCGCATAACAAAACACTTCTTTCAGCTCACACCCCGACCCCAACGCAACAACCCAGCAAGGAATGTAATTGCCGTACTAAAGAAGAATGCCCCCTTGAAGGAAAATGCCTTCAAACGAACGTTGTTTACCGAGCAATCGTAACAACCGACACAACAACAGAATTCTACGTCGGACTTGCAACAAACTTCAAAAAGCGTTACAGAAACCACAAAGCATCCTTCCTTAACGCCAACAAAAGAAACGCCACTGAACTATCAAAGCACGTATGGAAATTGAAAGAAACCAAGGTACCTTTCAGCACAAAGTGGAAAGTAATCAGAAAATGCAAAACTTACAACAATGTCAACAAGAAATGTAGTTTGTATCTTTATGAAAAATTTTTAGTAATCTGCAGGAAAGATTTATGCACCCTTAACAAACGTAATGAATTAGCATCCTCGTTCCCCCACAGGAATAGGTATATACTTAAAAACCTTTATTTGGCGCGCGCAACAAAATAGAAAGCACCTTAGCAACCATGGCTTTGAATTTAACCGCCAGCATTCAAATGTAACGGTCATTCGTTGATGTTGCTTGATGAGTGTGGTCAACCTTAGACCATACGAAACAGGACTGTCGCAGCCATAAAACGATGAATCACTCCTGAAGTCCTGAACTGGTTTGATTTAATATACAATGCTCCTCCAAGAGTTGAGCGCTCTTTGAAATCCATTCACCACAACGAAATAGTAAAGAGTACATATATATATATAATCCACATACAGTAGAGAAAACAGAAATCGTGTTATTTTCTATCAGTCCATATTTATGGCCTTCTTGCTCATGGCTTGATTAACAGCAACTCTTGCAGGTCTTCAATGCTTGCCAAACTTTCCAAGTACTTCATAATTCTCGATTACTGTAAGCTGTGCAGAAACCAGGTTTTAATTTATGGCTTTAGGTACTGTCCAAATAAATGTGACTGGCTACCCAAAGCTTAAAAGGGGACTCAGAGGATAACAGTTGTTAATTTGTTTCCTTCTAGAGCCAGCTTCTTTTTAATGACAGCCTTGGCATACTTTGTGTGTAGGAGAAATGAATAACGCTGATTCAATCGTGAAACAAGAATTTCTAAGTACACATAACAACAGCAATAAAGCTGATTGTTGAAAGCTTTGTTTTTGTTTTGTTTCTTTGTATGCTTTTCTTCGAACAATCTAACAAGTACACAATAAAACAAATTACCTTTGCTTACTTTTTAGGAGATTGACTCTTTAAGGGTCCAACTCCACCTTGCCAGTAGTCTTCCCTCTGGCAGGCTCTACTATGCCATTTGCCATCTCCTCAAGTGAGAAGAGATTGGCAAAAACCTTAGAGCATATATTTTTTAAATCCCCACTAGGGGGGAGTAATAAGAGGTTGGTTTCATTGTACATCTAAAATGAAATGTAACATATTAGGAGACTAGTATCATGATTGGAAAATAATAACCTCAGTGTATAAATAAGTATCATGATCTATTGTCTACAATAAAATTGTTTCCATAAGGTCGTAGTTGTAGCAAGTATGATAAATATTGTAAGAAATAGACAAATTTTTTGAGAGACATGTTTCGGAATGCTTATGCCATCTTCAATCAATGAGTAACTGAACGTGAGTAATTATATAACAGTCAAGTAGATGAATAAAATATTGACAGTATGATGTAATACAAAAGCGGGTACTAATTACAACGTGACACCAAACATCAAAGGTGTGAACTAGAGTGTAATTGTTAAGTTCAGGTTTGATCTTATTTATATAGAAAGCTTCTTTGAGTTTTAAATCAGTTGAGTTGTTAGCAGAATCCAGAATACTAAAGCAATAAGGGAGTATTTGTTCTTACAAGAAGATGTGTTGAAATGCTTAAAAATATGCGAGATTTTATCTCTTTCCGTGTGCTACCAAATCAACAACACCTCTTCCGGCCTTCAAAACGATCTACAAAATCAACAACAAACGTATCAAACGTATCTTCAAAATCAACAACACCTCTTCCGGCCTTGAAAACCATCTTAAAAAACTTTTCGACACTTTAAAACGTAATTCTTTTCCTTCGCATATTATTGAAAGAACTTTCAAGCGGTATCTTGACAGGTCCTCCTCTCAAAATAGCCGGAACATTGATGAAAATAATACACGTTACTTTAAACTCCCTCATGTGGGCTATTATTTTAAAGTAACAAACCTTAAACTCTGACAACTCACTAAGCGCTTTTGTAAATCGGACCTAAATATCAAACTAGTTTTCACTTCTTTTAAAATTCAAAACATGTTCAGTGTACGTTAACGATCGTACTCCTGATGCTCTAAAATCCATGGTAGTTTGTGAATTGTCTTGTGCGGGATGTAATTCCCGTTATATTGACGAAACTACAAGGATGAGGGAGCACACAGAAAGCGACAAAAACTGGCATATTTTTAAGCATTTCAACACATCTCCTTCTTGTAAGAACAAATACTCCCTTTCTTGCTTTAGTATTCTGGATTCTGCTAACAACTCAACTGATTTAAAACTCAAAGAAGCTTTTTATACAAATAAGATCAAACCTGAACTTAACAAACAATTACGGCATTGTAACACTTTTCTAGCGTTTTAGTTCACACCTTTGATGTTTGGTGTCACGTTGTAATTAGTACCCGCTTATGTATTATTATTATATAGCGCATAGAGGATATTACATGGCCGCTTGGGGATACGAATTTTATCTTCACGTGCTGAAAGTATCTCTCACTCATTCGCTGCGCTCACTCGTGAGAGATACTTTCAGCAAGAGAAGACAAAATTCGTATCCCCAAGCGGCCATGTAATGTTCTGTTTATTATATAGATACTGATGAAATTTCCACATAAAAGACAACTTTTTTTATTCCTTTTCGAAACAGCAATTGGGTAATTAGGTTGATAACCATGGCCACACCAATATCCTCACACATGAAAGATAAAAATAGTATCTTCACTACACGCGGTGAAGATATGATTTTTTAGTAAAAGAAGAAATCCTGGTACTTCATCAGTATCTATATAATAAATACATTAAAAATACGGTAGGTTTAAAATATACATAAAATAGGAATAAAGGAGGAAAAAACTTGAAAAAATAGGAATCAAATACCTATAAAATAGACATAAAACAGGGATAAAATAGACATAAAACAGGGATAAAATAAGTAAAAAATCTTGAAAAATAGGGCCTCGTGTATGTGTCATGTAAGGTAAAAGAGTTAAAATAGCACTTCCAATGTCTGGATCCAGATTAAAGTGGCTATAAAATAGGTTGAAAATAGGTGACCATCAAAAAGGCATGTCCCATTCCTCAGCCTAGGATTATCACTTTTGTGTTCTAAGTTGTAGCAATTTTCCCATTGCAAACGATTTAATGATCAGTACTTCATATATTTATGCAACAACCTCTATCTAGATTAGATTGCATGCAATACATGAAATTATATAAATTTGTCACTCAGGAAAGACCAAGTTTTAAGCAATGCCATTAATTTAATTCAGTCTTCAATCTGTATCCAAAGGAAGTGACAACAAGTACTTTCAGTTTACATAGAAATGATAGGATACAAATTTTTCGTAAACAATAGAATTTTTTCGTAAACAGAATTAAAGTAGAATTAAAATTTTATAAAGCAAAGTAAGTTCTTGCATTTAGCAAGCTGCAGTGCCTTCCTCTTTGTGGTTTCTCTTTTTAGAGCCACTGTATGTTTTCCTGTACTCTGAAATAAAAAAAAAAACAACAATTATCAATAACTGATATTTCATCCACTAGTAGATAATTTACTAGTCAGAAAGATTTGCCATATAATTCCCTTGTGATTCAGGCTTCATGGATGCAAAACGATGTAATTTACTGAATTGAACAGCTTTCGATGACTTTTCTATACTGCTTCAGTTAAAACTTAAGGCTTAAATTCATACTTCTAGGAGGAAAATTAGTCAAGTTGATATAGCTGTATTATGTGGTTTATAAAGCCAGCCAGTTACAAACATTACACCTTTAACCTCTTAAGCAGAGTTCCTTTTTCATCCAAAAGGTGTCTGCTTTCAGGAAGCTCGACCATACAAAATTGTGCTATCTTACCACAATCCCAGTCATGTAAAGGCAGCTATATAAATCTTACCTACAAAAATCGTGGGTTGGACACACTAAATTTCATTGAATTGAGTTAAGTTCTCAGAGCTTGTCTTAGCTCTGACTTCTGTGGGCTTTTCACTTGTCCAAGTTTTGCAACCATGCATAGCAAAATCTGTTCTAAGAACAAAGTTACATATACACTAAGAATAATTTAATGCAAGCAGTCATTATTGACTTCATAAAGACTCTTATTGCATCAGACACAAAAACAATGCACTTCTTAGGCGGATTAGAATTGAAATTTTATGGGACAACCCTGACTGAATGAGTGATTGCATCTTGGGACATCATCACCAACGTGGCAAAGTAGAGGTCGAGAGAGCTTGGGATCAACATCACCAAGCATGCTCCCTCACCTTTGATTATTACTTTAGTTGATAGAAAAATAAACACTTCTTCTATACCAAAATTAAAAATCGAATTACAGTGATCTCGACTTTTTAGAACGATTAAAAAAGAGAGCATGGTGCAGATATGGCGCGTTTTCAATTAACGAAGGTATAATTATTTTATTTTGCTGCCCCTTCTTTCCATTTGAGAACTGTTTAGGTTTCTTTCATAGTGCATTAGCACAAAGGAGTCTGCAAACTCAGATTAAGGAAACGTTTACATAACTCATGGAAACAGATCACTCTGTAAGGTTATTTAGCCATTGAAATGCAACAAACTTTGGGGCTTCTTCTGACAACGAAAGCATCTTCACGTGTGAAATGAACTTGGAACTTTGTATAAATAAAAAACTATTTCACTTCTTTCACCATACTTGAATGATGGTGTTGTTTTCCTTTTATTGTCTTTCTTTGTGTAAAGACAGAGGCAAGATCTAAATAGAAAATGCAAAATACCAACGGAACTCTACACTTCACTGAACGAGAGACAAGGTTCATTTCGCCCGCCAAAACTAAACTCCGTGTCCCGTATGTGACCAAATAAGGAAAATCATAAGATCCCGTATATAAGCCGACTGTACTAGATGTCTGCGGAGCATGACCAAAAAAAAGGCGGACAATGATGAGGATCGTTTTTCAGCAAAAGAGCTAAAGAAGAGAAATTTGCATGGACCTTACAACCAGTATCTTTCTCAACCGGGACTAAAGATACCTCGAACAACCTGACGGCGTTGGCCGCAGAACTTTCCAAAGTCCACTGCTTTGCCCTCGGACCTCAGCATGGAGTC